TGTATGATAGAATTAAAAACAGTTTCTCAGCAGCAGCATGCAACTAGTGCAAGAATAACCACCACACACAGAACTGAACTATCTCAACTCAATAAGGAAAGCAAGATTACAATAATTTCTCTGCTTTTACTATCCATCAAGATTCTAGGCAGACAAACAAGGCATTGTTGTGGCCTTCTTGAATTTCTCCGAGTCTCAAGAAAAAATCAAGACATATATCTACACTCATTGTTGATGAATAGTAGAGCAGCAAAAAGGAACATAAAGCAAAGAGAAAGAAAATAATAAAAGGTAGTGAGTGACTGGTGAGGTACACGAAGGGCCAAGTATGGAAGAAGGATATATAATAACACATACATATATGGGTAGGTAATGATCTAGTATGCCTACGATTTTCTTATCTTATTTTAAGAATGGAAGAAGAAGAATTATCCTTTGCCGCTGCAATGCATTGAAGGAGTTCATCACCTTTTCCTATTTATTTAATGGAAGAACATGGAGTTCACTTTCACCAACAAAAGAAAGTAAACCCAACTCAGCATACATAACTCGGTCTGTTACCTCTTCAGACATGAAAAGGTTATAGGCAAATGTTTCATGCTGGAAATATCAAACAACTCTACAAACCTCTGATCTGAAACTCTTGCTTTCGCAGCTGCAAAGCGCTGATACTCATCAAACACAGATGACAAGCACCACTTCTGCAATTTTCTATAGCATCCTACCAAACAACCCGTTCGGTGCTGCACACAGAAAAAAGGAACAGTTTGAATACTTTTTAAAAACTCTTATGTGTAGATATTACAAAAGTGGGGAAAAAAATCCAGAAAAGATCTCACCTTTCCCCGCTTACAGTGAATTATAACTGGGTGATTCCTGACATCTGCATTATTGACCACCAAAAGTTATTGCTGCTAAAATGAATTGCTGAAACTATACAGAAGAATTATGATTAATAACATTAAATAGCTATATATCATACCAAGGACAACTTTCAGCGCTTCACGGATTGTGTCCTCTGGGATGTTCACAAAAGGTTCCTGGATGCACATGTTTCATAATATCATAATTATCAGAAACTTGCTACGCCAACATAAAACCAAAGTTCCATTATCATCTTCTATCAACTAAACTTGATGGTAAAGAAAAGGAAGAGATGAGAGGGCGTGGCTAATACTATTTGAAGATAATATTACACAATTTATGAAGAATAAATAGCTTATGCAACTTTAGTTATAAACTGTTACAGAAGGTAGCTTTGAGAATTACCTTAAAATTTGTACCAACAACTATTTCTTATTAGTTGATAATGTAATATTGTTTACAGTGCTGGTGTACAAAAACTGATCCCTTCTGAGTTCATTAACTACCAATATTGATTGACCTAACTATTATTTATGGGATCCAAGATAAGCTTTTATTCTATTACTAACCTATTTATACAGACCTAACTCCCACACAATAAACACAATAGAATAAACCATCACTCCATTCCCATTCATCTAACAATCATCTATTCCTCTGATTGTCACATGAATAACCATGAAAATTAGCAGACGTCAGAACATTCTCCAAGTCATAGAAGTTACACAAAAATGAAAAAAAGATAGGAAAAGCGCATGAAGCAACTCCAAAACTAAGGAACACAAGTCAGATATCATTATAAAAAATGGGCTTTAATAAAATAATTGCTTCCCCCTTGTTTTCCTGGACATGTAGATTGGTCAAAAAGTTAGTATTCAAACAAAATTCATGAAATTGAGAGTTGAGAATTCAACAATAAGGGTAAAACATATCTATGTTAATTCAACGGATCTGATTCTTCTAGAGTGACAAAATACACTTCAGATAATAACGTGTACTATTTAGACACTGTTAAAATTTTTGACAAAATCAAATAAGTATATAACAAACCTTAAAATTAATTAGAATCATCAAGCTTATTTTTGGATCAAGAATTGTGTCACTTGGCAAATCCAAATGCAACATACAAAAAAGCCCTAATCTTCCAGTAACATAAATTCCACATCCAAATGCACTGATGTAATATTCTCTATACTCTTAAGATTTTCCTTTCCATGATATTACCTTCTTATCTTTCCTAGGTGATCATGACTTTGGTGATACTTTTTTCTACAGTTATTACTTTCTTTCCCCCTTCTTTACCTTGTACTTGCAGTATAATCAAATAGCAAATCTGTGCTCTTTTTTAGCAGATTTGGTTTTCAAATGGTCCCATTATATAGACAGCAAGTATAATACATGATCTCCAACTGTTGATTATTCTCGAAAAACCAATGATTGTGATAATCTTAGATAACCAGGGAATAAGACTTGACATGCCAGCTTGGATTCCATCAACTGTGATTTACATTTTCTAAAGTTGGTAATAAATACTTCCACTGTCCACATACAGGTGAGGATTGAAGAGGTCTCTCACGCATAGAAATATGCTCAAGAAATAAAACAACGGATCTAATCCAGAACAATAACGAGACTAAAACTGACATGACAATATAATAATAGTACCTAAAAAGCTGGGATAGTAAAATTTAGCAAGCACAAGTTTCCAAATAAACATTTTCCTAAAGCACTTTATAAAGTTAGGGACATTTCAAAAAGTTACCCCAGAAGACTCAAGCAAGAGGAGAGGAAGAGGAAGAGAGGAAGAGGAGGAAAAGAAAGAAAACGAGTTGAAGAAGTAATAATGCCAAAAACCAGCTTTACGTCCCCTCTTTTTCTTCCAAGCTTGTCAAAAACTCATCTGGTTAAACAGTACTTGAAACCAAAGCATCCACACAACGGTAACAGTTCATCAGGTCACTAATTATATCCACAGCCACTCCTCGAGAGATGAAAGTATATTAAGCATATAAAAGAGAATGAGAATGACAGGTCAACTGGATTAGATATGTGTCCATTGATCTCAGTGCAAGCTATTAATTTTTCTTATTGCAGTAAACTTTGTGCAAATTGCCAAGACACAACAATCAAAGCCAGATTCAGAACTTAGATAAATTTCACGTTAAAATCAATTCATGCACCTCTGCTTTTTCAGAGAAGTTAAAACTTAAACTCGATTCACAGAAAAATTAAGGAGAGCAAGTGAATTTTATCTTCCAAGAAAAACTTGATTGATTTTATGTCTGTTAGTTATAATTCTCTGATAAGAATATTATTTAAAGAGTTACTGAATCATAAAACAATCAAACCCAAATCAAGTCACAAATCACAAGAGCACAAAAAGAGGTTGAAGCCAAGGAAAGAGACCTTATGACCCTCGATTCCAAAATGATAAAGCTTGATCCCATTTGACTTGAGGAACTCCATGTTGGCCTCCGGATAAGGTTCGGGACACAAATATCTAACAAACACCCAATCAAACAAGCAAACAATTAGCAACAGCATGCAAGGAAGAGACTTTACTCCCAATTCCTCAATTGGGTACTCAAAAACAATCCCAAAAGGATCATCAAACTCAAAAACAGACACAGACACACACGCTAACAGCAACACGAGAGAAAAACAAAACAATAAAAAAATATAAGAGAGAGTGATTGGGATGAGTAGACAGACATGATGGAGCGGAGGCCAAGGGTTTGGAGGAAGGAGAAGTTGGCAGGTTCTGGGAAGCCAGAGCGGAAAATGCCATTATCAACCATGGCGAAGTTGAGAGGCGGAATGAAGAGATCCTCCCCGTCAAGCTTGTCGGAGACGCCATCCCCAGCGACAGCAGTAGTGTGCGAGAGGGTGTGATCGGATATGGTGAGCTGGATTTGGCGGCACATCGGAGTGTCTTGGCGGTGATGGGTGTGTTGAAGTTCTGCCGCCACTTGCATATCAAAGTCTGTTTGAAGTAGTATATGTCTGTTTTAGGACAATACAGAGAGAGAGAAGGGTGTAAGGAGAAGTATAATTATTATTAGTATTGAAAGTATGTGAAGGAGAGAGATTTATATATTAGAATAATGGTAGTAGTAACAGAGAAAAGGATCAAATGGGATATTCCTTAAGGTGGTGGTGATGTATTATGGCCTTTGGTGGTGCCCCTTCAAGCTCAAAGGCCTTTCTTTTCACTCAAGAGAGAAACAAAAGTGCTGAAAGAGGTGAAAGAGGTGAAAGAGGTGAAAGGGATGAGGAGGCAGAACACATATATATACACATTGCACACCCTTCACATTTTCTTTCCTTCTAAATAAACAATTCAACAGCACCTTAGGACTAGGATGTTTTTTTCCTATGCTTTTTAACCTATCATCTGACAAAACATGATTCCAGATAACATCATCTTTGCAGTTTCTTAGTTTCATCGATATTTAACATAGTTTTTTTAACTTTATTTACATTTGGATATGTTTCAACTCAGTTTTTCTTTTTGTCATATTAAGAACCTTAAATTAGATAAAACGTAAGCATTTAGTTTTTCCTTTTTTAATAAAAAATTGAAATTTTACTTCAATTTATTGAGTTTTTATGTAATATGTGGAAATTTTGAAGGCAAATTTTCTATCTAATTAGAAGTGATTTTTAATGTAGTTATTATAAAATTCAGTAAATTTAATATGTAATGTATAATCAATAATACCACTCTTTATCTAAAAGTATTCATTGAAATACATTGATTTCCTTTAAAGACATTTATTCAGAATATGCAAACAACCCCCATTAAAAAAAAAGGATGAAACTGAAATCAATTATGTCTTAATTATCCTTAAAGAAAATTATATTACCCTTAATTTTCCTTATGAAATTAATTTATAAAAAAATAAAAAATATGATAAAATTTATTAATTATAATAAAATAGTTGTGTAAGAATAATCAATGTCATCTTCACTTTAAAATAAATAATATTAAAACTTCTCCAAAGAAAACCAACACTTAAAAAGGAAACAATATTGAATTAACCAGGTGTCCCATGTACTCTCGAAGTTATTTTAAGATTTTTTTATAATTAAATATATATTTTTATCTTAAAATTATTATAAAAATTATATTTCATCTTTAAATTAAATTATAAAATATTTTGTTTGAGTATTTCATAAAAGTCAGTAATACATTTTTTTTGTGAACGTTATACTTTAATTGATTATAGAATTTTATTTTCTATATGGAAAATACCTCACATGTCATTTATTTATTAATTAAAAACTATATTTTTATAATTTTTATAAAATATAAAGACTAAATATTTTTATAATTTAATTTAGAAATAAAATTCAATCTTTTATAATAATTTGAAGAAGAAAAAGTATATTTCACAATTTTTTAAAAATTTAATATTCCATCATCAACCTATTAAAAAATAAACTTAAAAATTCATATATTTAAAAATAAACTTTGGTATCAAATATTTACTCCAATTTATCTATATTATAACTATCTTTTTTACCCATTTTCTTGCTATTTTACTTTTTGTTTTAAACTTTTATTATAATAATTGATTTCTATAATTATAAAAAAATATATGGAGACAACTGACTTATCAATACCTGTATTATCACTAGTTTGTAGAATAGAAATCACTATATTTTTTTTTGTCAATTTGGTTAAGATTCTTACTGGTTTTATAGTTGACTATTTTAATTATAAATACATATGAGTATGTTTACTATTAAGTTTTATTTTTATTTTTATATATAAATGTGATCCTTACAAGTTATTGACTATTTTGTTTTGATAATATAAAATTAAAACTACAAATAAACTAAAACAAATCGATATGAGAAAAATTACAAATCTCCTAATTATAAATTAAGATAAAATTAAATCAACAACTTTGTTACCTATATATAAATGTAATTTTTATATTCATCTTTATTTTTTTCATTATAAACTCAAATAACTTCAGTTTTTTTTTATAATAAAAAGGAACAAACAATATCTCTAAGGCTCATTTGAAAAGTTAGCCAAATATTTAAGAGAATAATAGTTACGTCTAGAATGAAGTATCTTGCATTATCAATCATATTTATTCTTCTATTGATTTTATCTGTCTCTCCATTTTTTCTATTTTGTTGAATGTGTTAAGTTGAATTTTGTGCACAGAGTTAGATAAACAACACCAGAAACTAGAATTTCCAGATATTTATTTGGTCTATGAAAACGACATATTACCAATTTAAGTTTTCACAGTGCTTTCCAAAATTATTCCGTTGGTAACTTATTTTTATTTAGCTATTTTATGCTCCTATACTCGTAAACTTCTGTTGGATAAAAATTAAATAAATAAAAAATAGAAGATTTAAAAATAAAGACATGTTCATTTTTATTTTATAAAAATTTATCTTTTTTATATTTAAGTTTATTTGAACTCTCTAAAATTATAGGATAATCAAATTATTGTTATGTTGAAGCAGTGCACTGAACATTGAGGGTAAGTAGTTTATTTTCTGGTAAGGACTACTTATTTTTGTTTTGTTAAGATGAAACCAATATGTGATAGGTGGATGACCAGAAAATCTTGTATTTTAGAAAGGATTAAGAAAGTTTTGTTTTATAACAAGAGTTAACTTTAATATATACTTAAATTAAAAATTGAACTAGACGTGATATATGATTGTATTTATTGGATATTTGAAGATGGATATAATTACATTAAGTATATATTAATTTGATAATAATTGGTAAATTAAAGGTAAAAGGTAAAAGGGAGCTTTTGTATTGATTTTAAGAATAAGATATGTTTTTTTATCCAAAGTTTGTTTTCTAAACAAATATAAGTTATGTAGTGGATTGTTGCTTAAGTGATTGTTTAAATAATATCATGATTATATGAATTATTTAATACACTCAAATGAGATGTTCAAACTATTAAACATATTTAAGATTTAATATTTAAGATTTGTTATAGACACTAGTGCAAAATTGATTTTTAACGTCACTCCATAGACGTCTGTCCACCAAAACCCCAACGTAAATAATTGACCGGTGGCATAAATGTAAATAATTGAGTGTGGAGACGTCCGTCCTAGAAGGGGACGGACGTCTATAATATAGTAGACGTCCGACCCCTCTAACGGATGTTCAAAAGCCTGGCGGGAGAGTTGAAGATTCAGCCTTTTGAACGTTCGTCCTGGAGGGGGCCGGACGTCCATATATAGTAAACGTCCTGCCCCCTCAAGGACGGACGTTCAAAAGACTGACGAGTTAAACTACCCTGTCAGCATCTTGAACGTCCGTCCTAGAGGGGGACGGACGTCTACTATAGGTAAACGTCCGCCCCCTCCCAGGACGGACGTTTAATATATATAAACGTCCGTCCCCCTCTAGGACGGACGTTCAAGGGGCTGACTGGTTCAACTACTCTGTCAGCCTCTTGAACGTCCGTCCTGGAGGGGGACCGACGTCTATATATATTAAACGTCCGGCCCCCTCCAGGACGGACGTTTAAGGGCTGACAGGTTCAACTACCCTCTCAGTCTCTTGAACGTCCGTCCTGGAGGGGGGGACGGACGTTTAATATATATAGACGTTCGTCCCCCTCCAGGACGGACGTTCAAGAGACTGATGGGTTGAACTACTGTCAGTCTCTTGAACATCCGTTCTAGAGGGGGACGGACGTCTACTATATTATAGACGTTCGCCCCTACCACAATGGACGTTCAAAAGACGTTTAAAATAAGGACTTACTAACCAAAACGCGAACCCGCGAGGAGTTATGCGAACCCGTGAGAGTTCCCTCTGCGCCTTGCATTTCCAGGTTGGTTTTTATCTGTTTTGGACCATTTAATCTTACTTTTATTCCGATTAAATTGTTCAGTGATGAAATATCTTTCATTTGGACCGATTAAAAATCGTTTTCTGTGCATTTTTGTGCAGTTTGTAGCGTGTTCTTGGGCGGCGTTTTTGGCCTACGTTTTAGGTCGTTTACTCCTCCATCTCCCTCCATTTTCATTTCGAATCTGCTCTTCAGACGTGTTGCAGTGCACAAACAAACGTCCAAACCCTATAATCCTAAATAACCCGTAAATAACCCTAAATAACCCGTCTAATAAAGCCCTTTCTGCAGTAGTGTATAGACGTCCGAGAGGTTCACAGCGGACGTCTATATAGACGTCCGCCTGACACAACGGACGTCTATATAGACGTCCGGCCTGACACAACGGACGTCTATATATAGACGTCCGGCCTGACACAACGGACGTCTACATAGACGTCACCCGCAAAGACGTCGGTCGAACGTCGGACGTCAAAAAGCCTAAAGAACGGACGTCTATAGCCCTTTCTGCACTAGTGAGAGAAAGGTTAAGATATTTTTCTTTTCTCTAAAGTAGATATTATTAAGTAGGGGATCACTATAATTATGAAGTAAGTGCATGAAAGATATTTTATTATATAGAAAAAGTTAAAAAAAATTGGTTATATTATATATAATTTCAATGAAATGAACTTTAGCTACTCCTATACATCTATAACACAAAAGGAGATTGAAATGGTGGAATGGATGAAGAAAGATGGAGTCTTTGAACCCTAGAAGTGTGAGTGTCTAGTGGTTTTGTTGGGTGAGGGATTCATGTGGTTGGGTAAAAGACTTCCGGAAACAACTCTCTATTCTTCTCCAATCTTTTATTTTCCTGTAAAATAATTCATATGCAAAAAATTATATCTATCTATGAATAATATATACAAATTCTACCTCTTTTCATGAAATTCAAGACAAACACATGATAAAAGACAAATAAAAGATACTAATAAGTGTGAGTAATAAGTAATTATCATACTTATCAATTTTTATAAAACTGATATAGGTTTAAGAAGATTAGGTTTTCTTGTAATTATTTAATATTATATCAACATAAGAGTGTATATTTGGAAACTTATAACTTAATAAATTGTTATATTAAAATATCATTTGTTAAATAATTATTATGAAGATGAATACTTATGGTGTAGTTTGGAGTTGTCATATTCGAACTACGTGTGTTGATATACTTAGAGAAAGTCAAGTTGAATATATAAGTAATTTTCTTAATTTGTTTAGGTGTGCAACATCTATTTATGCTAAATGTCAAAGCTCAATTTTTCCTCGATAAAATAAATAGAGTAAAATATGTTTAAGAAGTATGAACTGATATTTGGTAGTATGTGAGATTAATGCATGTTGATTATTATGCTTAAA